TGGGCTGTCAGCTCTTCAGAGGCCTCCGCCCCTGCCAGGGCTCAGGTGAGCAAAGCCCCCGGAGTCCCCCCCTCAAGTTCAAGGGCTGGGCTTCCTGGGGAGAGGGGGTGAGCTGGACGGCAGGGCACTGAACATTACTTCCCCTTTCTTGCTCCCCATCGGGGCTGCCTAGGCGTGGCCAGGGCCTGCCCGTCCTAGGGCTGGGCGAGTCGCGGGGAGGGAGGTGAGGGCGGGGCGGCAGGGCCGGGCCAGAGGGCCGCCCACAGGGTGTGGCCAGCCCCAGAAGACTGGCCTGGGGATTTGCCACACGCACACACCCCCAATCTGGTTTCACTTCTCTTTCCCCTTGGCCAGAAATAACTGGCCAGGTGGCTGGACCAGGGTGGCGGTAGCAGGAGACCTCTAGGGAGGGCAGTGGCCTGGGGGAGGGGGAGTGGAGGCCAGCTGGAAGGCGGGGTGGCCACCCCCTCCCATCTCTATCACTTCTGATTGTGGTTGCTGGTACAGAGCCAGGTTGGGGACTCCTGGCTTCGCTCCTCGAGGGAATCTCCCAGCCTTGGAGCCGGGAAGCCCCTGGTTTGAGCAAGTTCCCGTGTACTGGACACCTGGGTTCCTTCTCTTGGGAGGGAATTAAATTCCTTCACGTGGGGCTTGGCCCACAATGAGCTTTTGGTCAGCATTGGCTTTGGGGTTTAGCCAAACCTACAGACTTCCAGCCCCCATGCCCTTCTGGGACTTTGGAGAAATGGAATTATTCAGGGAGGGTCCTCTGGTGGGAGAGGAGGCTGTGATTGAATCAGCCTTGGAACAGGGAGAGTGGCCTGGAGGGCCAGAGAGGGGCTGTGATGGGATCATTTGGACAAAAAAAAAAAAAAAACACTGCAAGATTTGGACTTGGAGAATTGTGGGCACCTTGGCGTCGTGGGCTTGGATCATGTTTATTGAGAGCTTATGTGGGCCAAAGCTCTCCACTGTTCCCTATTTGAAGCCACAGCAACCCTGCAAGGGAGGGGACCCCTACGATCCCGATAGTCAAGCAACAGAGGCTCAGAAAGGAGTATGTCTTGTCCAGGGTCGCACAACTAGGGAGCAGGGGAGTCTGAATTTGAACTCAGGCCAGGCTGACTTTCCCTGCCTCTGCCTTTACTCTTGATCCAAGACTGTCTAGAATTCAAAAAATCTAAAGGCAAATGGATCTGGGAAGTGTCCACTGAATGTACCCTGAGGGTCTTGGAAAACAAATTCAAGTCTAGGGGTTCTCAATTTGGGATTCATGCAGAGGGTGGAGAAACCGGGTCACTACCCCATGTCCTCACTGGGTGGCTGCTAAGCCTTGTCTGCAGCTACTTTTGATTTTTTTGAGTCAGAGTCTCACTCCATCGTCCAGGCTGGAGCGCAGTGGCATGCTCACGGCCACTGCAGCCTCGACCTGCTGGGTTCAGGTGATCCTTCCGCTTCAGCCTTACAAGTGGCTGGAACCACAGGCTGTGCCTCTGTCACAGCAAGGGATAGAGGGACATGCTGTTTTATATTGGGAGTCAGGAAGGCCTTGCTGAAGAGGTGACCAAGTTCAGTGAATGCCTTGGATGTGCCAGGTGGTGAGCCGTGCCCTCAGTGTACCCAACTTCAGGGCAGGAAATGGACTTCCACTTTCCAGATGGGAAACTAGAGGCATAGAGAGGCCTTTCCCTGATATCACACAGCTTGGAGGGGAGAGGAGGCGGGGGGACAGGTTTTCAAAAAAGATTTTTGGTCTAATAATGCCTGGGGGGGTGGCTCACGCCCATCATCCCAACCCTTTGGGAGGCCAACAGAGAGGACTGCCTGAGTCCAAGGGTTCACGACCAGCCTGGGCTACTTGGTGAGACCTCATCTTCGTCAGGTGTGGTGGCGAGCGCTCGTTCCAGCTACTCGGTAGGCTGAGGCGCAAGGATCGCCTGAGCCCAGCAGGTCCAGGCTGTGTGGCCAGGAGCGGCCACAGCACTCCAGCCTGTGCGACAGGGGGAGGCTCCTACTCAGAAAAGATTTTCAAGCGTAAGTCCTCACGGACTCGGCACCCACTCCACAGCTGTTCCTTGCCCAGCCGGCCTGGTGCTCCCAAGTGTTGTGCCTTGCTGTTGCCGAGTCCTCCACCCCTGGAGCCGTCTGCCCTCAGGTGTCCGACCAGCAGCTGTGAGCTCTGCCTCACACTGCTTTGCCCACTGGCACTAACAGCCCATCCCTTTTCTCCACCCCAGAACGTGAGGACCTGAAGGCCTTGAGCTGCCTCCGCTGTGGCAAACAGTTTACAATGGCCTGGAAACTGCTGCGCCACGCCCAGTGGGATCACGGACTGTCTATCTACCAGACGGAGTCGGAGGCCCCCGAGGCTCCGCTGCTGGGCCTGGCCGAGGTGGCCGCGGCCGTGTCAGCGGTGGTGGGGCCGGCCACTGAGGCCAAGAGCCTGCGTATGAGCAGCATCACCCGGCGGAGCCCTACCTGCCTGGTGTGCAAGAAGACCCTCAGCTCCTTCAGCAACCTCAAGGTGCACATGCGCTCACACACGGGCGAGCGGCCCTACGCCTGTGACCAGTGTCCCTACGCCTGTGCCCAGAGCAGCAAGCTCAACCGCCACAAGAAGACCCACCGGCAGGCACCACCCCCAAGCCCCTGCATGGCCGACACCAGCCAGGAGCAGGCCTCCACGGCCCCTCCAGAGCCGGCTGCCCACGCCGCTGCCCCAGCCAGCACCCTCCCATGCAGCAGTGGTGAGGGGGCCGGAGCTGCTGCCACAGCAGGCGTCCAGGAACCTGGGGCTCCTGGCAGTGGGGCTCAAGCAGGCCCCGGCGGGGACGGCTGGGGAGCCATCCCCAAAGAACAGAGAAATGACCCTGCAAATAGCCAGAAGACGTCAGCCAAGAAAACACCCAAGTCGGTGGGCAAGAGCCGTGGGCCCGGGGGCAGCTGTGAGTTCTGCGGGAAGCACTTCACCAACAGCAGCAATCTGACGGTGCACCGGCGCTCACACACGGGCGAGCGGCCCTACACCTGTGAGCTCTGCACCTATGCCTGCGCCCAGAGCAGCAAGCTCAACCGCCACCGCCGCATGCATGGTCTGGCACCCGGCAGCCCCCGCTTCGAGTGCCCCCACTGCCACGTGCCCTTTGGCCTGCGCACCACCCTGGACAAACACCTGCGGCAGAAGCACCAGGAGGCGAGCGGGGAAGCCTGAGCACACAAATGGCCTCCCTGCTGTCCCCGGTACCACTGTCAACTCTTCTGGTGACCACCTTGTCCTTCTCCCTCTGCAAGTAAATTGGTCCTCCTGTTTACACATGTGGGCTCTGGCTTTCTTGGGTGTCTGAGGTGGGGCAGGAGGCTTCCCCTCCTTGGGGTGGACGGCTGGACAGACCGGTTTAGAGTGAGGGGGTTGGGGGAAGGCCAGCCCCCAGTGCCTGGGGCACAGCAGGACTGGCACAGAAAGCTGTGCTCCCGGTTCCTGGTGTGGGTGAGGCCAGGGCAGGGGCCGAGGCGAGGGCGGGGAGAGGCCTGGACCTGCCGGCCCCTGGGCGAGGGGCCCATGTGGAACACGCTGGGCCAACACCCCACGTCCACACCTGTGGGCAGGTCTGGGCCCTTTTCCCACTGGATTGTGCCCCCTGTCTCCTAAGCAAGCCTCACCAAGCCTGGCAGGTCCTGATGAGCAGGGAGCTAGCTGCCATTCAGACCTTAACACTGACGCCTGGCCTGTAGCCCAACAAGCGTCCTCAGTGGATGGGCCCTGAGGTTGGAGAGCCCTGCAACAACCACAGATGACACTGAGGCCAGGTGAAGGGAATTAAATAATGTCTGACTTTATTTCACTAGAGATAAAACCAGCAGCATCACAGCTTGAGCCCTGCACCCCACCCCCATTCCCCATGCCCCCCTCTTCTGCCTAATGTCGGTAATGGGGGCTTCGGGACCGGGACCTTGAGCGCCTGGAGAGAGAAAGGGAGGGGTCATGAGGGCGGGGCGGGAAGCAGGGAGCCTTTCCCTGTACACACACCAGCACACCTAGGGTCTACTGAGGCTTCAGTGCTCAGGGAATGGGTTGCAGAGGAAGGGAAGTTTCCCAATGGCTGAAGCCAGCTCCTCCAACTGGAGGGGTGCAGGGTGAGGGTGGAGGAAATCAGGGCCACGATCTCCCACCAAAAATAGCAACTTCCCAGGGAGTGAAGGGTCACCCTAGGGAGCTGGGCTGGCTTTCTTACCTACGGGAAGAGCTGTATTCCCGACCTGGAAAGACAAGCAGAGCAGGTGGAGACAAAGCAAATGTCCAGGGGCCGTGCGTTCTACCCTGACCTGGAGCCTCAAAAGTATTGCATCACCAATTGTGGCAACTACTAGGGCTTCCAGACAGTCCACTGGCTGCACCTGGTGGACCAGCCCATACCAATGTGCTGGGAATGAGCATTTCTAGTTCCTGTAATCACCTGTGACTAAAGCAGTCATTGTGTGTGTGCACGCACGGGTGGGGGTGTGTGTGTGTGAAGAGCTTTAATTTAAGGGTGGCTAACATGAGACATGTACCAGGATTTTCAGCAATCCTGTTTGGCACCTCTTCTTTAATGCCCCCGAGCCCTACAGCCCAGTGAGACACTCACTGTAACGGGGGGAGGGTGAGCGGCTCTGGCGACTGTACTGGCGTTCCCATTCTTCTCTCTCCTTCTCCCGGCGTTCCCGCTCCCTGCAAGGAGATGGGGTGAGCACCTGGCTGGGAACACTGAACTCAGGGAGGTAGGTACTTATGACACCGAGTCCATGTAAAACAGTAAACCAAAGGGGCAGGTACTGCTATGACCCCTACTTGGAAATGGAGAGACAGTTTCTGAGAGAGACACTGGCAGAATTGAGATGGGAATACCAGTCTGCCCTACAGGAAAGGGAGGTTCACAGCGCCATAATTTCCAGTCACAGCTGGGGACCTGCACAGGCCGAGGGCTGAACTAGCCTCCATCAGAATGACCAGAACTGGCAACCCCAACGGCTACATCAACTAGTGCCTTCTCTGTCCTAGCTTTGGTCTTGCTGAACCCTCCCACAGCCTGTGAGGTGGAACAGTGATTCCATCTCCATTTGGTAGATGAGCCAACTGAGGCTCAGGTAGAGAAAGACTCGTGGTGGAGGGTGGGTGGGTGGGAGGTGGCTATCGGGAAGTTTGCCAGGCCGAGAGGCAAGAGCTTGGAGGCTGCAGGAGCTGGGAGAAGCTGCAGTGGCAGAAGCAAGGCTGGGGTAGAAGGGGGAGACTGAGGAAGAGGAGCCAGAGAGCTGGCTGGGCACAGCCTCAGGGCCAGGCAGGGCTCTGACTTTCATCCACCCACAGAGGGCTGGGGCAAGGCTGTAGGAGTCGGTGGTGGGAAGGCTGGGTGGCCCAGAAGCATGGCCACGGGACAGGGAGGGAGCCAGTCTTACTTCATCCGGATCTTGCGGGCCATGGCTCGAAGCTCATCTTCCCGCTCCTGTAGCAGAGATGGCCATGAGGGCGTGGCCAGGCCTGGCAATTCCCCCCCCACCCCGCACCCCACCCACTCACTTCCCACCCTCACCTGCCGCTCATGCTCCTGCTGTATCATCTTCTCCTGAGCCGCTTTCTTGTCTGCCTTGACTGCAAGGAGGAAGAAACATGGTGGCTGAGGAGTGCTCTCAAAAGCCCCACTTTCCGCAGTGAGGAGCTGAGCTAGAGAGGTCAACCACACTGCTGAGGCCCCCAGAATAATGGTGCAGAGCAGATGCAAACCCATTGCCTCCCCCAAAAGTGCCTCCCCATTCATGCCTGCTCTCTAGGAAGGGCCAGGCCTCCCAAGGCCAGGCTGGGTCTTCCACTTGCTTCCACTGACAAGAGGAAAACAACTGGGAAGACCCAAGGGACAGACGGTGAGACATACACTGCCTGTTCAGCGCCTTCTGCATCCTCAGCTTCAGCTTTTCCTGTGGCGTCAGCTTGGGCTGGGGAAGGGGGAGAAGAGGCGGGAGAGGGGGGTGGGTGTCCCGGAGCTTCCACAACCCACCTCAGCCTAGAGCCTGGGACTTGCTGGGGGGAAAACGAGGGGAGGGGGCAGGCTGTGGACACCTGCTGTGAGGCTCGGAGAGGCTCAGGGACAGCTGGAGCCCCGATGCACAATGAGGAGGGGAGGCAGACACAGTTCTCCTGGGACAGACCCCTCTCCTCCCCCCTCAATCCCTGGGGCTGAATCTCCCGGCCCACCCGGGCCCCCCTGCAGGCCCACCGGGCCCAGCTCTCGGGCACTGCTGCTGACGGGAATTAGACGGGCGAGTTCCAAATTCTTACTGACTTTGGCAGCTCCTGTCTCTTTACCAGCGGCAGGTTCGGTCCTGGGTGTGAGGGGGTAGAGGGAAGGTTGGGGAGGAAAGGGCAACTGCCATCTCTGACCCCACAGCCTCAGCACTGCCCTCAAACCAGACAGCCAAGACCATGTGCCTCAGACCCCTCAGAAAACCACCGTGTCCCTCTCAGTCCCCAAAGAACCTCTAAGACAGGGCCTTGGCCCCTCGTGACCCCTCACCCAAGACAAGGTCCCGGCTCTGCAGATCCTCAGGACACTGCTGTGTTCTCCTCAGAACCCCCACCAGCTCAGGGCTGTCCCTGCTCTGAAGCCACCCTCCCAGCGGAGGGCCATGCTCTCCTCAAACCCCTGGGGCAGGACCAAGTTCCCTTCAGAAAGAAAACAGGGGCCCTGGCTCCTCCACCTGAGGCTGACAGCCTTCTCCCCCAGGCCCACCCTGCTCACTTTTTCAGCTTCTCTCCCACGGCAGGGGACGCCGCCGGCCTGGTCAGCTTCTCCCTCGGGGGCGATGGCGAGTGACTCTGGCTGCGGCTCCTGCTGTGGCTGCGGCTGCGGCTGCGACTCTGGCTGGGGCTGTGGCTGTGGCTGCGAGTCAGGCTGCGGCTGCGGGACGGGCTGAGGGACCAGCTGCTGCGGCTATGGCTACTGCTGTGGTGCCTGGGGCCCCGGCCACCTCGCCTGTAGCGGTCCCCGGAGCGGGAGCGGCTCCTGGTGCAGCAGGGCAGGAAAAGGACCCTGAGATTCCAGGGGCCCCAACCGCACCCCTCCTGGGTTCCAAATGTACATCCTCCTGCAAGGCCCATGTGTCCAGGCATGCTTCTCCTGACTTCTCTCCTGCTGCCACCCCCCCAGAAATCCTAGAGCCTGAAAACCCCTGGCCTTCCTCAGTCCCCAAAGATGGCCCTCTGGACACAGCCAGTCTGAGGGGCCGTGCCATCTGCACAGGGCCTGACCAGCTTCACTTCTTCCTCATTAGACACCCACTTGCCCAGTTCCTGTGAGGTGACCTCTGGGAGGGCACAGAGCACCAAAGTGGTGTTCCAGGGTAACCTCACCTACACCCTCACCCACCTCCTCATCCTGCTAGGTTCCAGGGTCTTCACACCCATGGGAACTGCCCACTCTCTCACCCAGCCTGGCACAGACCCACAAATTCTAGCCTGAGGTGTACTGCCCTCTCCTCTACCTTCTCAGGACACAGGTCAGCCTCTCTAGCAAGGGCTCACCCTCAGACTAGCATTCAAGATGCACCCAGGCCCGACCTCTCCTGTGTGGTGGCTCTGGATAGGCTACACACATTGAATGACCTGGAAGCCAATTCCAGGTCACATACCGACTTTGCTTGGGCTCTCTTGGGTTTTTGTGTACGTAAATTTGTTGTCAATATTGAGAAAACAGCCAGGCTCGGTGGCTCAGCCTGTAATCCTGCGCCTTGGAAGGCTGAGGTGAGTGGATTGCCTGAGCCCGCGGGTTCGAGACCCGCCTGGGCAACTTGGGGAGACCTCA